ACTCACTGCTTTAGGTGGAAATGTTATTTGTTTTTGATAAATGTGTTTTTTTGTAGAAAAATGCCCTTATTTTTTCTTTCTTGGAACAGAAAACAGGACCCCCCCCAGGATGGAGAACTTTGAAAATACAAAGTAACTCTGAGATATGAACTGCTCATTATTCTTATTTAATTCAAGTATCTGCTTGATGAAGTTAATAGCTATCAAAAAGATTTAGGAAATCTTTAGTAAATGAGTAAAACATAAAATGTATTAATAACCAGCTTTTCCTCATGTTTTTCTTTTCTTTTTTTTTTGTTGACAAAGTACCCACCTTTGTCCATAAATTTGGTTTCTCAGTGTGTAAAACTCACTGAAGGTTTGGGTGTTGAGGCCCAGGGAAAGACAATGTTTTTATTACAATATCACATTTAGGTACTATTCACTGAAAACAGATCTGCAATTTTAACCTGTCCCTTAAAAATATTGTTTACTCTAATGAAGACACTTTTTTTTATTAGACTGGTACCTTTTTGTTCATCTCATTCCAGACTGAAGCCACAATAAGCATTCTGAGGTCAAAAATGAAATTAAAGTTTACAGTAATTGATGTACATTAAATATTTAAGCTAAGCTTTTGCCTCCATTTAACCCCATGGCCTGAGGCCAATGTCCATCATCACGTAAAGCGCATCAGGACATAGTTAAATTTATGATGCGTAACAAATATCACAGTGATTTAGTCTGTGTTCTTTACCCACAATGAGTAGGTGGGAACAGATGTGTTTATGTCAGATCTGTGAGCACAAGGTCATGATGCAGATAGGTTGCAGATAATGTGAAGTAGGCCTATTTGAGGCTTCAAAGTGTTTGTTCATATCTCAGCAGTGGGTGATGAGTTGGTAACAGACAGACGTAATGATGGATGGCTCTTGATTTGCAATCTGTAGGTAAACTTCATAGGTGGTATAATCAAAGAAAATGTGTACATCTTTTCTGGAAGGCAAAAAGTTTTTATTGTTGCCTTTATATTTTTATTTCACTTTTCCTAGTTCTTATTTAGAAATAAAGTAGCTAATCCTCAATGCTGCCTTTCAGCATTGAGCAAAGTTTGTATGCTGTTACTTTTTAACCATGATGTGATGTGGTCATCCTATCAGTGCTCTTATTATGTGGGAAAAACAAATATGTTTTATATCGATAAATAAAGGCAGTTTAATAAAGATCCAAGTTTACCAAAGCCAAACACCTTATCTCTCCTGACTTTAATTATAGTTTTACAGTATTTACAGCCTCATTTAAAAAACAAACAAAAGTTATTTTAATATATTTTCCACATAACACTTGAGGTTTTTCATAAATTTCCAAATCTACAAGGAAAATCTCAGGCATTGCTTAGATTTTGGAAACATATTTGATAATTACCTCTGATGAACAGTTAAATTAAAGGTCAACTTTTGAATTATGTATGAAGAATAATTGAAATTGAACTTTTTAATTGTATTATATTGTTTTCAAATCAGTGATTTTTAAAAAGTTTTTGACTCAACCATTTGTAGAATCTTTAAAACATAGGTAATCTCTTGTATTAATGGTGATGTGATCATTGCTGCTGTACTATCTAGAATCCAGTCACTGTTTAATAAGTTAAATAGAAAGCAATTTGTTTTAATGAAACAAATATCATTTTAACAGAAACATGAATGGGTCTGTGACTGTTTAAGTGTGACACAAGTAAAAGATGGAATGAGGAGTTGTTGTTTTTTTGAAAGATAAACATCACCAGAAATTCGACACAGCTTTGTGAAAGTAAAAAAAGTCATGAGGAAGATATATCTTCATGCTCTGTAGGAAAAATTATTTGTCTCAATGGTAGCATTTTGACTCTTGGATGTAAGGGAAGGGAAAAAAAGCTAAAGTGCCAAAACTGTTGCCTTTTTTTAGAGGATAAAGATCTCTTTTATCTTTATTATGGTGCTTATTTTTTATGCCTGAGCTGATACCAAAAAACATATTCTGATGCTCAAAAATTAACTAAACTAAACTAAATTGACATTGAAATAAAAACTGTAAATCACTCAAGGCACCCTCACACAATGTCCCTCTTCCATGTTTACACACAATAATCAGCTGGCCTGTGATTTTTTCCTGTGGGATAAGAGGGAAAAATTGAAAAAATATATTACCGGTATGAGAAACAAATAAGAAAGACTACTTCATGTATTTGTTGTTCTCTCTCTCTTTTTTTTTTTTGTTTTTTTTTTTTGTTTTTCAAGTCACAGTTAAAATGACCAAACATCACAAATCCGGAAATATTATTTCCTTCTCCAGTGGTTTTAGGGATATTATTAAAAAACCAGGATGGATTAAATGATCCACATCACATGAAGGAGCAGCTGCCTGTTATTATACAGTAGTGGACATGCTCTACTTTAGACTATACTAGAGATGTTAATACTAAAAAACAGCTTAGCTTTTTTTTTAAGATATTTTAAACGTCCATGGGTAGAAATTTCCAACTACCATTTTGGACCGACAGGTTTTTTGTATTATATTAAATAATATATTTAATTTCTAGTAAAATCAATGAAACCAGAACAATACATAAAACTAGAAAGTAATTAAATAATATGCATTTGACTAATTTTACACAATTTATCACTTTCTTTAAACTAGATATTTGTATTATCAGTACTGTGAGAAAAAAAAATCTTTTCTAATAAAAAGGAGAGAAACCTATACACATATTACATTTCACTGTTCTGTGAGGATATGCTAAAAGCATCGGCCTAGTAGCTGTCTTTCCTTCCTTTATGTAAAATATGTCAAACATTGCTACTTTTTGCTAACGGCTGATTCAATTAATCCATGTTGGACCAATGTTTGGTGATGATCATGCTGTACTATAGATCAGAGAAACTGTCTGAATTTAGGATCTTCAGCCAAAGATGTAGTGCATCCATATTTAATACTGCATAACTCTTTCTAACACATCTTACCAGTCAGACCTATTTGTAGGTTGGATCTTCTTCTCTCTCTGCTTTTTTTTTCAGGGATAAAGCACAAAAAAAGACTCATTTCACTTTGAGTGATGGTGGAGGGGCGCAGGAACTTCACCTAGAATTGATCATTGTCATGTCAAATTTTTATTTCACCTCCACAAGACCAGATAATTAGATCTAATTTTAGCACAGCTGGAAGGAATGTATGATTTCCAGGCTCATTATAGCTCCCCTTTGAAGGTGGTCGGGTGAATACAGCTGTTATGTGAATGCTTAAGAGGTTTGTTAGACAACATTAGTGAATAGACAGCTTCATGAGCTTCAACAAGTATCCCAACCCTACAGTATCTGACTGAGCTGTATTTAATCCATCATAATCCAAAAATAGGTTTTGCAATAACTGCTAAGACATTTTAGTCTATTTAAACTGACAGACAAGGAGAGAAATAATATGAAGAGAAACCAAGAGGTTTATCGTAGTTGTGGAAGATATGCAAAGATCTACACATCAAATCCATTTAAACAATCTTTAGCAAACCTGAAAGTACACATATACAAGTCTATTTGATTTGACTAAAATTGTGCTATTTTGCGGATTATGTAAAGTTTGAGCTCAGGAAATATGAAAACAAATCCATACCATATTTATTTTAAATGTTTTATTTTTCTAACTTCGTCTTTTACCTAATAATCATGCACCCTTCTTTGGTCTGTCACATATATTCCACAAAACAATATCTATATGGTATATTTTTATGCTTAATATGCATTTATGGTTGTATAAGGACAAAGTGACAGAAAATCGATAGACAAGGTGAAGGCTACAAGAGCCTATTTTGAGTTATTGACATATAATGTAATAATGAAGTTAAGTTTTCCATTGATGTCGTAATTGTGAAAATTGGAAAAGAATTAAAGGACATAGGACCATTTGAATGCAGGCAACCTGCAAAGATTATTAAGGAGAAAAAAGCTTGGAAAATGTTTAACAAAACATGTTAATTTCAATAACTTTGTATAGCACACCTCCCAAAACAATGAATTTTAACAGAGACGTCTGACCACTCTGTCACTGATTATTTTTCTACAATATGTATAAGATAAATAACCGCACTTCTTTACAGCATTTATGCACTAGTGGTAGAGTACCCTAAAATAATACTACAGTAAGAGTAAAACAATTTCCATTATATTTGTACTAAAGTAAGAGAAAATGTTGTCATCAAAGAAACTATTC